TGGTGGGTAATCGTCCTGGTGGGTAATTGTCCTGGTGGGTAATCGTCCTGGTGGGTAATTGTCCTGGTGGGTAATCGTCCCAGGGTTCTCCCTACGTTGCGCAAACGGGGGGCGCGCGCCCCGTTTGGGAAAACTCCCCCCTGTTTCAATCGTTGCGCCCCGTTTAAATTACCTCCACCCCGATTAAATTCCTCCACAATAAAAGTTTGTCAGCGTGGGAATCGATCGTCAAGAATTCCCATTCGACCAGGACACCCGGCACGTGTATTTTTACCGTGCCACGCATGCACTGCAGACAATACACAAGTACAAACAGTCAACCTGTCCCACACCCAACACTAACTGTACACCGACTCAGCTATCTTATATATAGAAGAACCCCAAATACCGTCTATGGTGTGGTGGCGATTTTACGCATTAATTAGTGGTACGGTAAAAAACACGCCCCCTTAGTTCCCCCCCCCTCCCCCTCCCCTCCCCTCCCCCCTGTTTGAATTTCATCCTGGGGAGAACCCTGCTATGGTGCATGTATATACAATACCGGTGACGTCACGCGTGCGCACGCCACAATATTTCAAACAGAATTGCCAGTACTGAGTAGTGCTGACTTGTGACAAATAAATGCATAAATACATGGTGCAAAGTTGTGGAAAGTGTTCAAAAAGATAGGTGAGATGTCCACGTAGATAGATAAGTGTTAAAAAGCCCGATCATTTTGCGTTTTGTGAGCGATTTTTCGTGGGAACTTTGGGGAGCTGGTGCAGCGGTTCAAGGATAGAGAACATCGATAGAGAAAGAGGATAGAGAGGAGAGAGAGGATAGAGAGGATAGGAGGAGGAGAGGGTTAGGATTAGGGTTAGGGTTAGGGTTAGGGTTAGGCACATTGGTTTTATTGGGACCCATGTTCTCTATCCTTGGGCCGTTAGGGCCAGGGTTAGAATTAGGGTTAGGGTTAGGCACATTGGTTTTATTGGGACCCATGTTCTCTATCCTTGGGCCGGTGCAGCTGCGAAATCTAGTTCAAGATGTTCTATAGCCCTGCGACAGTCACTGTACCGTACGCGGGCTATTTATAGTACTAGAGCTAACAAACGCCAAAACGGGGCTTCAACGAACGACGGCTGCCGTACCTCCAGCCACTCCGAATCAAATAAGCACAATGAGCTTCGAATATACCGTTCTAGCTAAAACAAAGGATACTCAAACCACTGTCACAGTCTGTTGACCAGTATTTAGAACGAGATAAAGTTCATTCAACCAGAGTGAATCAAATATCACACTGACATAACGTATATTTTGTTGAAGCAGATAGGTCCTAGTGATGTGTCTGACAGCATCTTAAATATCTGCCACGGCCGCCAAAAGACATGTCGAATCTGTTTAACAGTGAAATGCGTTCTCTTACCAAGAGTTGGCCTGCCTGTTGCGTCTGGATGTTTATTTCGTGTCAGAAGCTGCTCGGCCATGTTGTAATTTTAAATGACATCACGAGGTTCCCGTGAGCCTTAGCGGTTTCCAAACTACTTAGGGAAATAATTATATTTATAATATGCGCACTTTTTAAAAGATATGAAGGTAGCAACCAAAACATAAATAAATAAATAATTAAATATTTGTCATTTCACATTTTGCTCCACCCTAACTAGTAATTTTTCCATGTAGACTAATGTACTACGTTTTAGTATATCAATCCGCTAGATATGTTAACCGGTCATGAGTAAACACGAGATGGTGGAGACCACTTTCGTTGCTGGGAGCTATATTTGATGATAATTTCAAAGCTTGCAATTTTATTCAAATTGTTGGTTATTCCACAAGATTCCAGGTAAATGCAAAACTAGCATCACTGGTCGTCATTTTAAAACCTAGATTGTCGTAATTGCATCGTTGTTTATAGAATAATTCGGGTGTAAATCTGGGTACCGCCTTGCTTTCATACGTGCGTTCCGAATTCTAAGTTTCTAGTTACAACTTTATTACGACGCGGCGCGTACAGTATGTCGATTATCAAATGTGTGTCACTGTCAGTGATAGTAATCTACATTGCCGGTAGCATCTTGCTGTACATGTGTCGACTACCATGGTGAATAGTTGTGATAATGATGTATGGTCCGTGTGAACTTGTCTAATTTTATTTTAGGCACTTATTTAGCTCTTAATTTTGTACTAGGAGTATTACGATTTACTAAATAATTTATTATCATTGGTGGGGTTCTTGCAGTTTCAGTATTATTCGTAGTACAAAAATGTGTAAAAATGTCCTCCCAGTTTAAAATTCTATGTTCTATGTGAATCCACTAACAACATTCTATAATCCCAAAGATAGCAACATGTAGGCCTATTCACAATCAGGCAATAGTTTTGGACCTTAACCCAACTATGGCACTGCTATGTATGTTCAGCAGTAAAACAGCACATTTCAACCAACATATATATAAATCAATCCATACCCAGATCTATCCATCCAAAATATACAGATCTGGAGAAAGTTTTCCATGTCATGAGTCTCCAGTATAACTATGAGCATGTAAAACAGCATTAGTAGATATATATATATATATGCGTTATTATATACAGCATATAAGTATTATGATTGTGATGTATGTGAGTTACTTGATGTGAGAAGTTGTGTAATGTAAATTAGTGTATGCACGGGTTGCTTCAGTAAAAGTTAGTAACTTACTGGTAGCATGCTGGAATTTGTGGAAACCCCCAGTTTACCATCATTGTAAAAAATGTTTTCTCCACTCTCTTATTGCATGTACTCTTGCATAAAACTAGATCGACATTGCCCCTAGTATACCCAACTGTTGGCACTTGATGCAAGCTGCAGAAACCCCTACTAGTATTAGATCAGTGACTTCATAAGGGCATATTTAAACTGCAACTGCTAGCTTAAACGTGTGACTGAGTGGTCTCAGAATTAGTACAAGAATACTTGTAATGTGCTTGAAGTACCGGTACGTTACTGCCATATAAATCCATCAGAAGCTATTTTCCAAATTTAGCCCATGACTACAGTTAATAATATATAAAATTATAAAAACTAACAAAAATTATTAACAGCTAAGGTTATAATTAAATAGCATGGGAGAGAAATGTTCACAATTTATTTAGTCTGTGTATTGTATTTTTAGCTACTCAAACAAGTTTATGTCAACTCATTCAATGTATTTAACTAAAGCTCAATGCGTGTTATCATCTGTCAATACTCTCACGGTTGTCAAAGTGCTTCCTCCAGTTGCTATTGCCATGGCTGCAGTTGATTCTTATATTGAATTACTGCTTGCACTAATTATTCAAGAACTTTGCATTAATCGCTTCTACTCATATCTACCTCGTAACCCATTAACTAGTCCTGTTTATGAGAATGGTGGCGCCACTTGCCTTGCATGCATGTGGTGGTTATTCTCTCCAGCGCCTGTATATCTGTAGCTGTGATGTGTAGCATTGGCCAAGGTGCTCCACACCAGGTTACATTGATGCAGCAGCTGTGATTAATCAGTAGTTACCTAACAATGTATAGTTTTGTATACCGATTATGCACCGGTTTATGTATCCCATCTGTCATATATTTCATATTACTATATAGGCAGGTGTCAGCATTACTCCTATATAGCTTTGCGTCAATTCATGTATAGTTGTTCTCGAGGTAGTCTCTTTAATATATCCCTGGTTACTATAGAAGCAGCACTACATCCATCAAAAGAATATCTGTCTTCCACTACACACATTGTTGGCACGAGTTGCTAGCTGAGATTTAGCTTCGTGAAAACACCACCACATTCATTGATTGCATACACATTGAGTTGCTAGCACCATGACTTGCAGGCCTCTCGCCCAGCAGACTGCCAATTACATGTGTACACAATTCAAGAGCATTTTGAGTTGACTTTACCCAGCCACAAAACTCATATCAGCAGTGGTAATAGAAGAGTTGATTGTATTGTTCCAGATACTGGCAGTCCCTTGATTGCTCACCACTGGCTCCTCCAGTAACAATTTTCACGTGGAATCTTCTGTAATCACTCAGCCCCTTGTACTGTAGCCAGCTCAGCGCATCTGGACTCTCTTGCATGTGTTGGTTCCTGCTTTATTGATGGTTGATATTGTATTTCTGAAAAAAGCTAGTGTTTTATTTTTAAATTGTACCCATATTTAATATACTAATTCTTTCCATCACAGCACAAGTGAACTTGCTATATATATAACAGTGTTATGCATAATTAAAAGTGGTGTTTTTAAATGTATATATTGTTGTTAAATTGATTACGTCACCGTAAATACTAAAAATAAAAAATAAAAAATAAAATTCCTTTATATCACTAAATATAAGTAATTCTGTTCACCTTTTATGGTTAAATTGCTGCATTATGCTTCCTATTTTACTATATTGTTTGATGTGAACATACACTCGTGACTCATACATAGCCCATAGCAAGCAATTAATGTCAGGAACATAATATCAAATCGTCCAGGTTTTTTTGGATTTTTAACTGGTTGAGAAACAATCTTATCAGGTAAGAATTTGACGATACGTTTCGTCCCGTTAGTTCTTACTTTTAATGTAAAAAAATGGCAACAAACATTTTTCAAATTTTACCATAGAAAACTCGTGACGTAGTCAATTTAAATGTCAAGGCAGCTAATTACCAAGAAAGTATACAGAGACAGAGACCCTTGGTTATGTAACTCAATCACCATGATTTATATTTAGCCATAAAATGCATTTCCATGTTGAGATAATTTATGAAATGAATAGGACTGAGATGATAGGAGGATGATAGGAGGATCTGATCAAAATCTGATACAATGCTGTTAGTTTACGTGCACGTGTATGTGTATGTGCATAACTATTTGTTCCAAATGCCTCGCATGATTAATCATTAGTTTTGATTCTAGGTAAATTTAATGGTTTTTTGCATCGATCGTAAGATCTGATGGCATATAGGAGTAATATTTATGTGAACATGTGTTTAAGTCGTTTTTTTTTAACTGCATGTCTGCTTTTTGCGATTCTTATATTTTGTTACTGATAGGTATATACCTGACTATTCAGTAATTGTCATGTATCTTTTCACAGGGACTCCGTTGTATGCTTAGAGAATGTTTAAAGTTTCCTACAACGGCACCTGACTTAAGGACGCGGTCAGCTTTTCACAGGCACTTTCAGCCACTTGCAAACACTGGCAAATTCACAAATGTTCAGCTAACGTCAAAGTGGCAAGGTATGCTATAAATCAGTTATTAAAACATGTATATATTGTGTAACACACATGTATATATATATAGTTTGAAAATTAAAGAGTAAATAGTGGTCAGGAGTACACTCAAGACGTTTTTTGCAGTGCTTTTGTAAATACTAATACATAATCATGAATAGTAAATGATGTAATACAATATTTTCAAATTGCACACTACAGAAACAGTCTAAAAAACACGTAAACAACAACTCATATCATCATGTTGGTCTCTGTCCCCATGTATTATACTATATTTTTGAATGTGGGTCAACTATCAGTCAGTCATCACTACGGCAGTTTATTATATTTAGATATTATCAGGAGTCTATCAATATTGATAGACTCCTGATATTATATCAGAAGTAGATAATAGGGAAAATTCCCTATTATCTACTTCTGATTATATCAATGTGTAATCTATAGCTATATGTACACGTGTAATCCTGTTTCTACCTGATAAGACTAGTATAAAATTTAATTAATAGCAAACAGTGTTTATCGCAGCTAGGTCAGTCATAACTAATCATAACAATTTACCAGACAATTCCCTGTGTGTAGTGTTGTCAATCGGTTGTAATTTCGTAATCGATCGTCGGTTGGACCCAAGTAACCGATGATCGGTTAGTCGGTTACAATCGGTTACTCGGGGTGTTGAATGCCTGCGTGTGCGTAACGTCGTGTGCATGTACGTGTGTGCATGTATGTGCTTGTTTAGCCCTGTTTACTGTTTGTTTTGCAGTGTTTACTACTGTGTGTATAATACATGTATGTTAATAAAGGATAACTTGTATAGTAGTGATGATATCTGTGATTCTCATCACTTTTCCAAGTTTTCTTGTTTAGGTTTGACATTTATTTTGGGTTTTTTTTCCCTATGAAATCGATTATGGATTTTGATAACCAAGCGCTTGGTTCGAGCCACTGTTCAACCGATGATCGAGTATAATCGATGACCGTGACATCACTACCTGTGTGTATACATTTCGCATCTGCAAACACAATCTGTGTAACGTATGAATTGTTGCCTAAATGCACTAAACACCAGATCAAATTCTCAAATATCTCTGCGGAGCATGGCTAGCCAGACTTGGTTTCTTACCTACCGCACAATGCACAAACTTGTATTACGTGTAAATAGTCTCCTTCACAGTCCAATAAACCAAATAACAGTGTTTCCCCTGCATTTACATGAGCGTGGCGGGCCGCCTCGCTCAAATTCTCAGCCGCCACACAGAAATTTGTCCAAAACACCGCCTCACTGACGAAAATCACTGTTCTTCCATAGAACAGCGCTTATAATGCACCAAATTGCACCATTTTTTCCCAAATTTGGACCCCGGACCCCCCTAGCTGAGCGAGCACCTGCGGTACTCGTTTTCCTAAGGACTCAAAATGCGCACACACACTAAAAAAATCAACCACCTCACAGACCTTTTGGCGAGGGGAAACACTGCAATAAGGTCATTGACTGCCCAACTAATCCTCAGGTACAACATATACTAGCAACAAAAGAAGTTTTATATTCTAAGCAGGACACATGAACTCTTTGCCCCTTAATCTTGACCTGAACAAAATAATGGATATAGAATATACAGATCTATCTATATACTAAAAGATATGAATTTATATAGGATTCATAATAAGCAGTGTTTCCCCTGGCCAAAACGATCTGTGAGGTGGTAATTTTGTTTGGGTGTTTGCGCGTTTTGAGGTCCTAGCAAAGCAAAGGGTTTGAAAAAACGGTGCAATTTGGTGCATTCTAAGCTATTCTGAATACATTGCAGGGTTTCTTATACATAAGAGGCACAGTGGCGCACCATCGTTGTCAAATTTAACATCGCCATTGTGAAAATGTTCCTGTATTTACTGATAAGTATATCCTGTATCTATATACCTATACGTATATCAATACATCCTGTATTTACTGATAAGTATATCCTGTATCTATATACCTATACGTATATCAATACATCCTGTATTTAAACCCATCATGAGCGTTTTTTCCCCAAACTGGCCATTACCTCCTTTGTCTAATTTTCCCTCAGAAGAAACCCTGCATTGTATGAGACTCTTGAATCTCTACACGGCGTTGTGTTTTACGTTTGAAGCTTTATTCGATTTTAGTTCAATGAAGTGTAGTTTATAGATGGAAGAACATTGATTTTCGTCAGCAAGGCAGTGTTTTGAACAAATTTCTATGTGGCGGCTGAAAATTTGAGCGAGGCGGCCCGCCTCGCTCGTGTCAATGCAGGGGAAACACTGATAAGTACAATGAAAGATATACCTATATCAAGGCAAATGAAATAAACTATTTACAGCGGATATGCTACACCGCACAGTGGAATATCTACTTTGCCTAGAGATAATAACAAGCTTGTCACATAGATAGTTAAACATCGTTTAAACAAAACAACTACTTTCCCACTACACAGTAACACATGTATGAATTGCGTTCCACTTACTAATGCTCATAACTAGCCATATAAATTGTAAAAACTACAACATTGTAGACAAATGCAACATCACACAAATCTTCGCATTTTAAAATACTGGCCACAGTGACATTCCTTGGCTCTGGCATGCAGCCCAAAGAGAACTAAATTTACACCCTTTAAAATATACGTGGAACAGTTGAGCTGAGAATACAAAGTACAGTATCCCAGGGAGCGAACTGAATTTCCAGTTTCCAGCTTGAAAGGTAATACATCAGAACTGCTAGCTAGTTTAACAGATGTAAATTATACCTTTTATGTAAACCATTGTGAAACTTTATGCTACAGTGATTAAAATTATTTATATATATGCAAGCATCATGCTTAGACAAACTGTGTAGGATGATATAAGTAGACCGATGCATATATCATTACTATACACTTTTACAAAACTCCATTACGCATGTACAAGGATCATAAATTAAGATTGACCCCAGTTAGCGAATGATATGGACATCTGGTAACGGAATATGCACTTTTTTTTTAAATCTTTAGGAATTAATGAATTATTTAAAAGAACAAGTGCCGCAGAGCGACAGCGCTCAACTCACTATTCTTCTGATAAACTCACTGGCAACCGAATCAAGTGCGCCCTCCCGCCACCGCATTGATAGGCTTTTCTAT